TCCGATGGAGAGCATGCTGCAGGTCATGCAGGAGCAGATGCGTCTGCAGCAAGAGCAGATGCGTCTGCAACAAGAAGAAATGAAGGCTCTTCTTGAAGCCATCGGTCGTGAACAAGGCGCAGGTACTGGGCAGAGCAGTACCGCAGCAGATGCGCCGAATCTTGTGTGCGCTTTGAGCAATAGGATCGAGAAATTTACGTTTAATCCTGAAGCCAACCTTAGCTTCAGCTAGTGGTACGCGCGTTACAAGGACGTATTTATTGAGGATGCCAGGTCGCTTACGGAAAGTGCTAGAGTGCGACTTCTTTGTGAGAAGCTGGACAGAGAAGACTTCGAAAAGTATCAGAGACACGTACTACCAAGACAAGTAACCGCTATAGGATTCAAAGAGATAGTTTCAATCCTGAAGCAACTTTTCGACATGAAGACATCGCCGTTTACACTAAGGTGTCAATGTCTAAAGCTGGATGAAAAATAGTTCAGAGATTACCTCCTGTATACTGGAAGAGTTAACGAACTCTGTGAAAAAGCGAAGATCCATGACCTGGATAGCGACGGAATCAAGTGTCTACTATGGATTTTCTATGGATTTTCGGGCTGAAGAGTCCAAAGGAATGAAATAAGGCAAAGACTTATTGCAGTGCTGGACAAGGAGTACAGACCGAACGCAAGATGACCCTACAAGAACTCTACTTAGAATGCGAAAGATAGCAAGACTATAGCTGGAAACAACGCGAGAGTGGTAGAAGCAGTCAAAGAAGACGCAGGATGTTGGAATGCTGGAACTGCTTTGGGAGCACTTGTTCAAGGATTGCAAAGCAAAACCATGGTTCTGTAAGAAGTGCAAGACAATAGGGCACAAAGAAAAGTTCTGCGAACTTTTCAAAAGAGAAAAACCATCTGACCGACCAAGTACCAATCCGAAGAATTCTGGAAACCGTGGCAACACCAGAACGAAGCGAAGAACGAAGAAAACAAGATTTTCAACTCATTCACATGTTCGAAACGTAGTGAAGATCGCAAATGCTAGGATGGATGTCAACTCTCCACCACTATATCTGGAAGCGAAAGTAAATGGTCTTTCAGTGAACTTTTTACTTGATACAGGATCGGATATCACGCTTCTGAACGAGTCAATCTGGAGAGTATAGGTGCTCCAGACCTTAGGGAAACGAACATCTGTGTCAAAGATGCCAGTGGAAACTCCACGAAGATATATGGCAAGCTTTAGTGCAATTTTGAGCTGAAAGGATGCAAGAATGAAGGTTATGCATACGTTACTTCTCACAACCCTTTGCTAGGAATAGACTGGATCCGGAAAAATGAAGAGATGATCTATCATCTGGGAAAAATGGTTGCAACTGTTATGGCCAGTCAAAATAATGTTATCGCACAAAAATTGAAGAATGCTTATCCAAAAGTATGCAACGATGGTCTCGGATTATGCACCAAGGAGAAAGCAGACATGCAGTTCGGTGGAAGTTTCCATCCAGTGTTTAAGACTTGCAGACCTGTCCCTCATTCTGCCTTTGAGGTTGTCGAGAAAGAACCGGACAGACTTCTGGAAATGAAAGTGATAACGCCAATAACCCATAACGAATGGGCAGCTCCGATGGTATGTGCAAGAAAGGCAAATGGAAAATTGAGAATATGCGCAGACTTCTCAACTGGACTCAACAGAGCACTTGTGTCGTACGATTACCATTTGCCGCTACCAGAAGACATCTTAGCATTTCTCAATAGAGGAACAGTGCTTTCGCAAATTTATCTTTCAGATGCGTATCTGCAAATAGAACCATCCGAAAGAGCGAAGAAATTGGTCGTGATAAACGCACACAGAGGACTGCACCGATACAAACGCTTGCCGTTTGGAATCAGGACTGCACCCGGAATATTTTAACAGATTATGAACAAGATGATAGCTGGTTTACAAGCTGTAGCAAGCTACTTGGATGATATTCTGGTCTGTGAAAAGACTGAAGAAGAGCACATGGAGAATCTGCTGGCGTTGTTCGCAAGAATCTCAGAGTATGAATTCAAGATTTGACTGGAAAAATGTGCTTTTGGAAAGCCATGATGCGCTATCTTGGCTTTATCGTCGATAGAAATCGCAGGAGACCAAACCCGGAGAAGATCGAAGCTATAATGCAGGACAGTTACGAGCCTTTCTTGGCATGATTACATACTATGCGACGTTCATACCAAGCATCAGAAATTTTCGTGGACCATTAGATGCGTTACTGAAAAAAGACACGAAGTGGGAATGGAAATCCAAACAGCAAGAAGCCTTCATGAAGTTGAAGAAGGCACTAACAAGTGAGCTGAACCTTGCTCACTACGATCCAAAGCAAATAGTCGTAGCAGCAATGCATGCGACTATGGAATGATGCGTAATATCGCACAGATGTTCTGATGGATCAGAGAAACCGATTGCGCATGCTTTACGATTTCTCACAAAGAGGAGAATTACTCACAAATCGAGAAAGAAGCATCAGGATTTTTCTTTGCAGTGAAGAAATTCCATAAATACATTTTTGGCAGAAAATTCCTACTCTTAGCGGATCACAAACCCTTGTTAGCCATCTTTGGTGAAAAGAAAGGAGTTCCGGTTTACTCCGCTAATCGACTTATGAAATGGGCTACGATTCTTCTGGGATACGATTTTGACATAGAATACGTTGAAACCACTCAGTTTGGGCAAGCAGATGGACTTTCAAGATTGATGAAGAAGAATCAGAATGCAGAAGACGTGGTAATAGCTGGTGTCGAGAACGACGTGACCGAAACGTTAAAAACTGTATAAGAAGATTGCCTTTAAAGAGTTCTGACATAGAAACATATACGACGGACGATCCGATATTGAAGAGAGTGATGACTTACGTGAAGAGTAAAAAATGGCCAAAGGCTGAAGGAGAGTTAGCAATTTTTCACAGTCGACGAGAGGCACTTTCTCTTGTAAGACAGTGCCTAATGCTGGCAGAAAGAGTTGCTATACCTAGCAAGCTTCGGTCGAAACTTCTAAAGGAACTACACGTTGGACATCCAGGAATCGTAAGGATGAAGAAATTGGCGCGAAGTCATGTATACTGGCCGAACATTGATAACGATTGCGAAGATGTAATGCGGAGATGCACTAAATGCCAAGAAGCGGTCAAGAATCCTAAAGGTTCCACTGGAGGCATGGCCACCCCAACCTCGGCGTGGCAACGGATTTACATGACTTCGCAGGGCCCATACGAGGACTCAGCTACATGGTCATAGTTGATGGTCATAGTAAATGGTCCGAAATGGTCGAGATGTACAATATTACTGCGACAAGGACTGTGAAAGTTTTGAAGAGAATGTTTGCTAGATATGGACCACCACAAACTATCGTGACTGACAATGGAACTTAGTTTACATTGGAGTTGTTCAAAAGCATGTGTGACGAAGAAGGAATTTTACACATAAAAACTGCTCCTTATTATCCCCAGTCGAACGGGCAAGCAAAACGTTTTGTTGATAAACTAAAACGCGGAATCAAGAAGAGGGGAAGGAGAGGCTGATGGAAGAAACTCTGAATATTGTCACAAGCCTACAGGCACCAAATGCAACTTTGAACGACAAGACACCAGCGGAATTATTTCTTGGAAGGAAATTATGCACGAGATTCAGCCAATTAGTACCACAATCAGAAACAAAGAAGGAGCCGCTAGCTAGAAGAAACAGCTGCAAACACATGAAAGACCAATTTGATCGAAAACATGGAGTACACCCAAAAGAATTTGAAGCTGGCGATTTGGTCTACGCGAAGCAGTGGAAACCACCTCATTTTCGTTGGATCAAAGGCATCGTAGTAAAACGTATTGGACGGGTTAACTACGAAGTGAAGATTGGCGGAGAGTTATACAAGAAGTACCCTAATCAGCTTCGGCATCGAGGCAAAGGAAAAGAAGATCCAGTACAATCGAAGACTTTGACGCTACTACTAGATGTCCTCACAGAAGATGAAGGCCTACGAACAAATGAAAGCATAATCGAAAAGTGAACGGAGAGACTCCTTCACACTTATCACAAGCATTAAATTCACCTCTGTCGAAGACGAACCATCAATCATCTATGCAGCCTATGGTCACAGAGAATGAATCACAATCATAAGACTCTGCGATGCAGCCCATGTGATCTGATTGATGTATATTGTACTCTTACCAGTGTAGTAGACTAGTTTGAGTTGTAACTAACCTACTGGGGGAGGTGTTGTAGCTGCAGTAGAAATGACTTCGGTAAAATGATTGATGTTTTCCATTATAATCTGTTTATGTAAATAAGTAGGCTATAAATAGCAGCCTAATTCGTAGAGACGTTCAGTTTTATTGCTTGTCGCTAGAAGGCAGATGAAGAGTCTCCGCTGAAGCTGTTCGCCGAACACATCAAAGTTCATGTACAAGAGAGCGGGCAAAGGAAAGGAAAGTAGGGGCGGGAAGGGGGAGGGGGAAGGGGGAAACTCAGACAGTCGATGGGATACCTCCGAAGCAAAAGTGACAGGGTCGCGGGCTTTTTCCAGCGGAGGATTGCCACTTCGCGCTCCGGAGCCCCGCCATTTCACGCATTTTTGTGCTCCGGGGCTCTCCCAAAAGTGGCGCACCTCCGGAGCAGAGATTTGCGCGTCGCGGAGGGGGGTCCCATTCGTCCTGTTTGTGACGTCACCGTGACGTCACGGTGAATAAATGGGACCCCTCTCCGCGACTCGCAAATCTCTGCTCCGGAAGTGCGCCACTTTTAGGAGAGCCCCTGAGCACAAAAATGCGTGAAATGGCAGGGCTCCAGAGAGAAGTGGCAGATTCGCGCCATATGCTCGCCGGAGGTATCCCTTTGACTGTCTGAGAGGTTAGAAAAGTGTTAGAATAAGCACTAATCACTCTCATGTTTGAATACAAAATTTGACATTCCGCAGAAACCAAACTTTTGACTTCAACATCGTCGTGGCAAAAAACAGCATTTGATGTTTATTTGCATTACAGAAGCAGCCTTCAAGCCGAGAGGGCGGCAGCTCAAATCACACAGCTATTCAATTCCCACATTCTGAACTCGAATAATTGCGGGCTTGGTTCGTTGACCAAAATATGTACATACATCGCACACATACTCTTCATTTACAGATTCAGGTTCAATTTCGCATCTTATACAGTTAGGCAGGACTTTGAGCAATAACAATGGAAGTAGTAGTAATAAGAACTACATTCAACTGAATAACGACGACAACACATCAGCTTTGACCAGTATTACAAACCCGCAGGATTGGACCGAGGAGCTCGTTGACGTAGATGACTCGCTTGCAAACGCTCGCATCACAGTAGTTCCAACGACTGAGCAGATCCTTTTACTTATGCTAACAGGTAAGAGTTAATTCGCATTGCGCAAGTAAATGGTACTATCTGCGCCATCTGCGCTTTGATGGAACATTGAACGGCTGAATTTTTCAAATAAACTACTAAAACACAAATTGTCTAACACAGAGTAAACTCTTTGCGTTTGCGACCATGTCCTTCTCGTGAATTTCGGTCAATTTGACGGGCTATCGTGGACGCACTCTCAGATAGCAAATCTTTAAAACAGCGTCCCGGCAAAAAGATAGGTGTCGGGCTTTTGTGACGATGTTAAAGTAGACCCCCTGCCTAAGCGATGATGAAGTTTGGAGCGAAAAAGCGGATCTAGCAAGCCTGTTTGCTCCGAAAGTGCCCCGGATCTTACGGTAGGCCGGACGCCGCCCACACAGCATTATCGAACTGCAAGGCCAGAGCACGCATAGCACACACAGTCATGAGTGCATGGTCCCGCAACGACTCTGCGTCTCTACCCTGCATGCATCTCGTGCTCGCCCGAGCTTACCGTAAGATCCACTACGGGGGAGGGGGGATTTGTAGACTTCGTAGACCCCCTTTCGGCCTGCAAACTTCTGTCTTCGCTTAATTAGGAAGTCTACTATTACATTACTACCAGAGTCAGTACCTCCCAATCTGGTGGAACGCTGCCTTCAAGGCAAACAAATGCTACAGTGCTCTGCATGATCGCAAATCGGTCAGTTTGCGGCCAGTGCTCGCACATTGAGCTTTTCAGTTTTTGTTTCAAACGCTTTTTTGCTACTGGATGTCAGCCTTCATTAGCTCAAGCGTTTTTGAAAAGTGCAGAACTGCTCAACTGGTTTCAAGCCTTGGCATCCTGAGTAATGGGCGCACACATCGACTTTCGCGATCAGGTACAGCTCTATACCATGACAGCTTGTTATAGACATATCAAGCTAGTCACTAACTTGGTACCCGCTTCAATGCATTGCAAAGTATGGCATCGACATGTAGCTTTCAGTATCCATTAGCTATACACTTCAACACTCTCAACAACCATATGACACAGTTTCAGAACCAGTGACCTTTTGGAATGAAATGCATAAATCCGGGCTCCTGGATGAACTTGTTGACCTACTGACGCAATGTCTGTCGGAAATTAAAAAAGCCGCAAAAAGTGGTGGTCTCTCATGGGGTGAATCCTTTCTTCCCTTATATCAAATCACTTTCTCCTCTTTACTTCGAAAAACCAATTTCAGCTGCTCCCGTACTTACCCGTGTTGTTTCTGTTCTTAATATGAGCGATCGAATAGCGAAGTGCGTTCATGCAAAACCAAAGGAGAATGTGTCCACTGAAGCATTACCAACTACGAGGACCACAGGTAATAAGTTGTTCCTTCTTCTGATTTGCCTCTAAGGTCTCAGTGTTTTAATCCACTCTTATCAGTAGAAAACTGCACACAACCATGGGAAATGGACGAAACATTGCGGATGATCCTGCCTCAGTGCTCTCCTTTCACGAAGAGACCTCGCATTCAGTATACCTCCGGCATCGTCCCTTATTTAGAGGTGGACTGCTTAGGCATATTCTATGTGCAATTCTGTCCGAAATACAGCTTCGAAAATTACCCGAAATCGCCCACATTCCAGGGTCTGGATGTTCAAACTGGTTTCGCCAACAATACGAACTCCACAACTCTGGAAGGTCAAGAAATTCTCGTACCGCCTAAGATTTCTTGTTTGCGTTCTAGAGAACCTCTCGTTAATCAAAAGTTTACCTGACAACATATGAAAGCAAAATACGCGGATTTAGTGGTATTTTTATAAATCGGTAGCGAGCGAAATCAACTCCGAGGATGTGAAAACAGAACATCTTCCTAAAGTAAAATCTCGTTTCTTTGAGTGTCTTGATGAAATTCGCTTGCTCAATATCCTTATTCGAGTAGGATATTACATAATCACCATTGATATAGGGATATAGTGACAAGAAAAAAATACACACATAAACGGAAATTTACTTGTGAGAGGGAGCAAAAACGAGCATGATCAAAGCTTGACAGCAGGGCCTGGCACGAAGTGGCTGTGGCGAATTTCTGGGATCGAATTCCTCGTTGACTTCGCAACAAAATTACGACATGCCTTTGAGATGTTTATGAATGAGTAAACGTGAATTTCAAAGAAGAATAGAATAAACAGATCATTTAAAAATCTCGTTTTCTCCGAGTTCGCTGCATGCTGTGTCCGGCGCGCACTACCGCGCGCTTGAAGCAGGACTGCAGCCGCAAAATTTCCGGAGGGCTGTCAATAGGCGGAGAGGAGGGGTTCGAGGAGGTTAAAAAACTGGTTTGTAGGGTTTTGAGTGAAGTTTGGTTCATGTAAAAAATGTGAAGCATATTAAGAGAAGAAAACCCATGACTTTGTTCGCTGTGAGCCACTTAACTCCAAAAAAGTTTGCCTAGCCTTTAGTTTACATAAATTTTTCTCGTATATCTGATATCATAGATATCTGCCAAGCCCAGATTAATACGGTGAATCTTCATTGACCTAACGTTCCGAAAGCTCGTCTTGGAGGTCTGAAAGACGATTGCAGTCTTGACTTGTGAAATTACGCCGCCAAACATTATCTCTGTACTTATCGAGTCTAGACCTCGTTTCATGCATACCGTACAGAGGGGGCACGCTCGCAGAAGAAACCCTGTCCGCAGCATGTCTACTGCTATAGTCCGCTGCTTCCTGCGGACTATAACATCTTCATCACAATAGATCAACGGTTGGTTTCTTCTGCCAGCGTGCCTCTCTGTACGTTGTGCATAAGACTAGGTCTAGACCCTATAAGTATGGAAACGATGCTTGGCGGTGTGGTTTCACAGGTCAAAAGTGCAATCATCTTTGAGAACTCCAAAGAAGGCGACCTTTCGAAACGTTAGACTAATAAACATCCACCTACTAACCAGGACTTGGCAGGACATCTATACCATCAAATTACGAGATAATATGCCCAATTCAGAGAAGAGAGGACCTGGTTCATACATTTTCCAAGTCTTCGTTGTGCATCACATATCAATGTTTGTTTCACCTCATTTCCTTTTCGCTGTAAACAATCCTATTTCGGATACATATTTGAATTCTCGCGTATGCACGGAGAGCGTATGGAGCTGGAAATCGTTAATTTTGCAGTGAGGAATTGGTAGAACAGTGATGAGCACTTGCGACGAATCCAGAAGATGAGGAGATGGATTAAAAGAGGGGGCAGGGGTGAGGGGGGGGGTGAGGGAGGGAAGAGTGGAGGAAATGAAAGTTGGGAGTACGGTGTATGACTTTGTGAGGTGGCCGTAGGAGTTTCGGAGTATCCCTATACTCCCTATACTCCTACGGCCACCTATACCCATATAATAGGTGGCCGTAGGAGTATAGGGGTATCAAGGTCTTGTTTGTCAGAGGAGGGAATTTTTTAAGTTGATAAGCGTGAATTGGCCAACAAGTTTTTTTGCTCGGTCAATTTTGAATAAATTCAGTTTTAGATTTCTTCACGTGCTCGAAAGAGTTTTTGGATTTTTCGTATACACCATGCTGAGCTAATACATACGCTTTTTCTCTTGTGCAAGCCAAGAAGAAAATGATTTGACATCAGATTTGGCGTGTACATGCGCAGTGCGGAGTAGGACAAATGTGCAGAGTATTCTTACAACCCCATATCCCTATAACAAAAAATGGCGAAGCCCTGTATACTATAAAAACTGCAGTTTTTCATCTGTCGACACTTTGTCACTAATTGTTCTTGTCGTTTTCGTCCATCTAATCATCGTTCACTGAAGATTGCTCTGAAGGAACTATCCCCGTAAACACCGCACTAGATTTTTTGCGAAGTGAGGGACTTCATTTTGAGATTCCTTGGTGTCCACGTGTACTGATTTCTGGGCGTAACAAAATGGTTCATGTACTGTGCCCCTCCTCTTCTTTTTCACTTTGCTCTCAGCAACGTATTGTATCGGTTGCTACTGATATTAAAATTCCTTCTTAACCGCATATTTTGTTGTATCATCTGTGGTCAGCAACAGGACGCAATTTACGAACAACAAATTTTGTTGGCAGTGTCTCGCGTCCTTTCTTTGAATGCTTTTGAACACGGTCGTCTCATCGATAGTATACGGGGAATAGGACATTAACAATTCACTTTCAGCTTCATCATTTTCATGTAAGTAGCATTATACATCCTAAGATTGTGCTCTCAACTTTATCAACGTTGTAAATAATCACATTGTTTGACTTGGTATTACAAGGACTTACTGTTAATTCAACCGAAGAACTTCCACTATCATTTCATCAATAAACGTTAGCTCTCTGCGATACTTAGTGGTCAAACCGGCCCTGTACGGTCCTGGTTAACAGATCAGAACATGCATTTTGACCTACTGCACATCATCTTTCTGTCCCTGCTACTAGAAGCGCAAAATCAGTAAATTAATGATCGATAAATTGATAACTGTTGTGTTAGTGTTCGTAAATGATCAGCTGTTTTCCTCGTAGTGATCTGCCCTCGCGCATTCGATCTTAGCCTCAGAGTGCGCGGGAAATGAGCGCTATAAAAGGCGCTCACGCATAGCCTTAGTCAGTTCTACAATCAGTTCGTCTGTTCACTCATCTGCCTCTTTTATTTTGCTGTTCTAATATTTCCTAATAAATATTCTCTATTCCTCGTGTGCTGCCTCAGGACGAAGAGTCGACGTGTCCGACGTGGTGGACACAACAGTGGCGATCAGGATAGCGGCTACTAGCGAAGAAGTAGCCGTAACGAAGAAACACGCGCCAGGAAGAAGTCGACGAAGAAGCTGAGAAGAGCTTAACGAACTGATCGATCGACATGGCGAAAGTGGACCTCCAGGAGATGATGATGGTCTTCAAGGAGATGATCAAAGAAGAAAGAAAGGAGATGATGGAGATGTTCCTGAAGCACATCGGAGGCACGAACCAGACCAGTTCGACGGAGATTCCGAACATGATGTCCGCACTAAGCAATCGGATCGAAAAGTTCAACTTCGACCCAGAAGCGGACGAATGTTTCAGCAAATGGTACGCACGCTACAAGGAAGTCTTCGTCGAAGATGCGAAGCAGCTCACAGAGAGTGCCAGGGTGAGGCTGCTCTGCGAAAAATTGGACAAGGACAGTTTCGAAAAATACCAGAGGCATGTGTTACCAAAGGAGGTAACCTCGATTAATTTCGAAGAAACCGTCGAAACATTAAAGCAGCTGTTCGACGTGAAAATTTCGGAATTCACTATGCGGTACCAGTGTCTAAAACTGGAGAAGGCAGATTCCGAAGATTACCTCCTGTACACCGGTCGAGTGAACGAATTGTGCGAAAAAGCGAAGATCCATGACTTGGACAGCGATGGAATCAAATGCTTACTGTGGATTTTTGGCCTGAAGAGCCAAAAGGAAGCCGAAATCAGGCAGCGACTCATAGCCGTACTGGACAAGGAGTACAAGGCTGGACGAAAGATGTCGCTACACGAACTGTACCTGGAGTGCGAAAACTTCCTTAGTCTCAAAAAGGATAGCGAGACTGTGGCTGGTTGCACGAAGATTGTCGAAGCAACAAGCAAGGAAGAACCCAAGAAGCTGGAATGCTGGAACTGTGGGAAAGCTCACTTCGCCAGAGAATGCAAAGCGAAGCTATGGTTCTGCAAGAAGTGCAAAACGACAGGCCACAAGGAAAAGTATTGTGAACAAGTGGCGGAGAGAAAAGCACTTGTTCAGCAAGATTCGAAACGAAGAATCCACAGAAGCAGCGACACCAGTAAGAACAGAAGTTGGACGAAACCAAAACGTCATGTGCACAGCGTAGCGAAGATTGCAAATGCGATGGTGGATGTCAACTCTACACGCATGTATATCGAAGCAAAAGTGAATAGCCATCCAGTTAGTTTCCTGCTAGATACTGGATCAGACATCACGCTGTTGAACGAATCAATTTGGAAGAGCATGGGTGCTCCTCGTTTGGAAGAGACGAACGTGGTTGTCAAGAACGCTAGTGGAGGATCCATGAAAGTCCATGGAAAGCTATGGTGTGAGTACGAAATCAAAGGATCCAAAAGCGAAGGCTACGCATACGTGACGCCCCACAACTCACTGCTAGGATTGGAGTGGATCCAGAAGAACGAAGATATGTCGTACCACTTAAGCAGAATGGTTGCTGAAGTGAAGACAGAGCAGCAAACCAGGGACATCGCTTTGAAGATAAAGGAAGCTTACCCAGAAGTCTGCGAAGAAGGTCTAGGACTCTGCACAAAGGAGAAAGCGCATCTGAGAGTTGACGAAAATGTTCGTCCAGTATTCAAGGCTTGCAGGCCTGTCCCCCATGCTGCACTCGAAGCTGTCGAAAAGGAGTTGGATAGACTATTGGAACTGAAGGTCATAAGTCCTGTAACACACAGTGAATGGGCAGCTCCCATTGTGTGTGTTAGGAAAGCGAATGGAAAGTTGAGAGTGTGTGCTGACTTCTCAACTGGACTCAACAAAGCGCTGGAGTCGTATGATTACCCGTTGCCATTGCCGGAGGATATATTCGCATCCCTCAATGGAGGCACGGTGTTTTCGCAGATAGATCTGTCGGACGCCTATCTGCAAATCGAGCTGTCAGAAGAAGCGAAGAAAATGGTTGTAATAAATACGCATAGAGGGCTCTACCAGTACAACAGACTGCCTTTTGGAATCAAGACAGCACCAGGGATCTTCCAGCAAATTATGAACAAGATGGTGAATGGCCTACGAGGAGTAGCAACCTACCTGGACGATATCTTGATCT